CAGGTTTTCGAAGCGCTCGGCGAGGCCAGGGTCGACGTCGCCGGGAGGCGAGTCCGGTATCACGTACGGCGCGCGCGCCGCGCCGCCTCGCTCCTCCTTGGCGGCGGCGGATGCCTCGCCTTCGCCAGCGGAACCGTCATCGCCGCCGGCCGCGGCCGCGTCGTCCGCCGGAGCAGCGGCGGGCTTCTTGACGATGGAGACCTGCACGCCGCTGCCGCCGACGCTCCGGTGCTGCCCCGCCTTGTGCACCGCCTCGTCGTCAAGCGAGGCGCCGAGCACCGCTGCTGCTGCTTCGCCGGCGGCCACCTCGGGCGCCTCCGGCTCGGCGTCGTCGTAGTCGACGATGGAGAGGTGGACTGCGCTCGGCGCCGCAGCGGCCTCCTCCGCGTCGGCTGCCACGGGCGAGTCCTCGTACGCGCCGAGGCCAAGCATCGGTGGGGTCGTTGAGCAGCAGCGCCTGGGCCGAGCCCCGGGGAGCCTGGGGAGGAGAATCGAAAAGAATTTTATCGTATCGCACAACACTGGGCACAGTGTGAGGAGAGACTGCCAGCGACAAGCTGGAGGCAGGTCGCTAGACTGAGATGAGACCGCCAGTGGATGTGGGAGTCCACCGCGCACCGCGCTGCGAGCCTGTCGTGTCCCTTGTCAGGAGCAGGAGAGCCCCACCTGGCGCGGGCACCAAAGACTTCCCAACCGACACGTATGTGGCAAACATGGGACTCCTCTTCTTTCACGTCATTGTCATCAACTCATCGGCTCGCTTCACGGAGAGCGAGCTGGCCGTCGCCAAGGCTGCGAGGGAGCGGGGAAAGAAGGTCATCTTCACGAGGAACAAGGTCGACGATGCGCTTGACAGCATGTTCAAAGAGGATGATGTCTTCCGCTCCAAGAAGATGCGTACAAAGATGCGCAACTGGGTCATACCTGAAGTCCGCGTCAAGGCCGCCAAGGAGCTCTGCACCATGCGTGTCACGGCAGAGGCTGAGATGGAGAAGCAAGGGGCGTGGACGGCCGGGGAGATGGAGACGGAGCGCCTGTTCCTCATCTCCGGACAATTCGGGCCTTGCCTCGAGCTCTTGTCACGCGACCAAAAGTACGCTTCTGTCCGGGCCTTCTTTCGCCGACTCCGCATCTTGCCCCGCGCCAGCGATTGGCGCGGCTTCATCCACATGCTTGTGAAGCTCATATGCCACGAGGCCGGCTACCCGCGCTTCATGGCCGTGCCGCTGGCGAGCTACCTGCTACTGCTGCAGGAGAAGGCGAAGATGAGGCAGTCGATCGGCTCCGTGGGCGTCAAGGAGTGGCTCAAGACCTTACCCAACGAGGTCGACGCTGAGGGTCTCAAGGACGTCATCGAGTACATGCGAGTCGCTGCAATGGACACCATGGGTCTGCTCACGCCATGCGGTGAGATCGTCGACTCGGCAGCTTCCACCTTCGGACTGCCGCGCGACACACCCCTCCAGTCCGCCGTGCCGGCGGCCACCGACTCGGACAGCGGCAACATCCCCGAGTCGCTCGACATGCAGGGTCCGACCGCCGCTGGCGACGCTGCCGCCCTCGGCGCCGACCCCGACCCCGCCGCCCCCGACGCCGGCACCCCTGCCGCCACCGACTCGGACAGCGGCAACATCCCCGAGTCGCTCGACACGCAGGGTCCGACCGCCGCTGGCGACGCTGCCGCCCTCGGCGCCGCCCCCGACCCCGCCGCCCCCGGCGTGGAGGCCGCGGCTGAGGCCGAGGCGGAGCGCGTGGCGGCAGACTCTGAGGCTGCGGTCGCAGAACCCTCTGACCCGGCCTTTCATGAATGGATCGGGGTTGAATGGGCCGGGGCTAGTCCAGCTTGATGAGTCGATGGCACGAGAGCGTGTGTACAGAGAGCGTGTGCCCACATCATGACGGCCATCGCGCATCGGGGGCCCGCGGGGGGCGGGGCGTCAAGCCTCGCAGCACACACAGCTAGGCGGGTTTCTTGTATACTTTGGCAAATAATACCTAGGTGCGAGGATTGTTGCATGTCGCCGTCATCATGCTTTTGCCCCCGCGCCAGGTGAGAAGGTGGCGCCGCTCTCGCGGCGCGACGTCTACATCCTGTCGCGCGCCGCCGACCGCGTGTGGTGGAGCTGGAACTACTTCGGGTTCAACGAGTTCGACCCCGAGGGTGACCGCTTCTACCGCCACGTGCGCGATTGGCTTCGCATGGAGACGGATGACGGTGCCCCGCACTGGGTGCACTCGCTCCGCGCCGTGCAAGCCGAGCAGGACAGCGAGTACTCCGCTCGCGCGTCATCTCGAGTCCCTTCCCACAGCTTGATCCAACCCTTGGCCCTCTGATGTCCAAGCAGCACATGCACTCTTGGTGTGTGTGCTGTGGGCCCTCCTTGTCTTTGCAGTAGACCGTGTGGAGGTAAGGGCCCAAGGTTGCCTTTCTTTTCCTCATTGTAAGATTCTTTTCCTCTATATACTCTCTCTCACAGCCGAGCGAGCAAGATGCATCCAGATCGAGGCTGCTGCAGTCAGATGCAGGCGCGCTCGACTTTTAGATATGATTATGCGTTTCGGCCCGGAATTTGCCGTTAGTTCGGGCCGGTGTGTTGCAGCCCGCCACAGCCAAGCACAACTACGTACGTCCGCGACAACATGCTCTCAATCGCTCCCGCCATTCACCTCGGCGCCCAGTGCGGCCCCAAGATCGAGCTCGCCACCGCCAAGTTCGGCCCCTACCCGGGCTACGGGGGCCCCTTCTCGTCGGTCACTGGCAAGGTTTCCCTGTATTCGGACGGGGATGGCGTGCAGGCCTGCTTCCCGAGCCGTCGCCCCGCCCTGCCCATTGCTATCTGTGGCTCCGATCACACCCCCACGCCTCCCTACCCACAGACCTTCGTCTACGACCTGTCGGGCCTCGACACGGGCTGCAACGGCACCGACCCACTCGGACTCTCCGGCAACGCGTGCGGCATCCACATCCACTCTGGCTTCACCTGCTCCAGCGCCTCCGAGGTCGGGGGGCACTATTACCTAACCCCCGCGGCCGACCCGTGGTCCGACGGCGGCATGGGCGAGGATTACGTCGCGTTTTATAGCACGACAACCGGAACCGCCTCGGGCAACTTCGACGCCGACACGGGCGCGACTACGAGCGACCTGCTGGGCCGGGCCTTTGTCGTCCACGACGCAGACGGCGGGCGCGTCGCGTGCGCGCTGATGGAGCCCGTGGTGGACCCGCTGTGCGTGACCAATTTTGCCACCTATCCCGGCTACTACGGCGCCTTCCCCGACGCGACGGGTGTCATCACGATGGTTACAGTGGACAAGACCACGCAGTACTTCGACTATACGCTCAAGGGCCTCGACCTCGGCAAACCGCGCGCAGCTCGCGACCGCGACTACGCCCGCGCCCGCGCCCGCGCCCTCGCTCTCGCCCGCGCCCGCGCCCTCGCCCGCGCCCTCGCCCGGGCCCTCGTCCAGCCCATTCTCCGTCCGTGCCACGTACAGGCTGCGCTGGCGGGTACAACGCCTCGTTCGGCAACTCGTGTGGCCTTCACATCCACTCGGGCTCCTCGTGCGAGGCCGCCAGCGAGGTTGGCGGGCACTACGCCACGAACGGCTTCGCCGACCCGTGGACGGAGAAGAGCCTCTCCTACGTCTCCTCCACCAACGGCAACGCGGAGGGGAAGCTGTCCGCCGTCACGGGCGGCACCTCGCTCGATGTGCTCGGCAAGGCCTTTGTGGTGCATGGGTACGACGGCGGCCGCATCGCGTGCGGCACGCTCGAGTACTGCGACCCCTGCGGGCCGCCACCGCCGCCGGCAAACGTGTGCATGCCGTGGTGCAAGAACAACCCCGACAAGCACTGCCCCAAAACCCAGCTTTGCGGCAGCTGCTACTTCTGCTACCACTAGAGATGCGCTCTCTTCCGCTCCACAACCAAGATCCCGGGGCCTGAGGCGAAGTCGGAGCCGTCTTCTCGCCTCGCAATTTTGTGCCTTCACTTTTTCAATTTTCGCGTTCTTCTGCGCAGTGTGCAGGTGGTGGACCCCCCCCCCCCGGCCGGTGATGTGCGCAGTGCGGGCGTGCAGCGTGCTTTTGGCTCCTTACCTGGACACGATCATGTGGCCTGTTCGTGAGCTGCACCTGTCCTCATTCATTTTGTTTTTGTTGTTCGAGCCTGCGTAGGAGATCTGATCTAGGGAGATTGCGGTGTGCACGTCCATTGGGAGAGAGAGATGTGATGAGTCTCTCGATCTAAAGAAAGAATTTTACAACAAAACTCCCTCGCACGACACTGGGCACGGGACTGGCGCGCACTGGCACTAACACAGGTGTGAAGAAAGATAGAAAACATCCAACCGACCCGTGTTTACTTTAAGGCCCTTTCCCTGCGAACGCGAACCCCCGGGGCTAGGGCTCTCTTGCCCGTAACCCGATCCCGATCATCCGGCCCGCTGGGTGCGCTTCTGAGCTCCCCGGCCCTGGATGTGAGGCTGCCAACTGCACTCCAAGTGCTCCAAGTGCTCCAACCCAAAGGAGGGATGGGAGGACGGCACGCCGCCGCCGTCTCTCGATCGGGCCCGCAACATTCTTTTTAGCGTGAATCGTGTCGTGCGACCGCCTTGTTGTAAAATTCTTTTTAGTGCCAGTGCGCGCCAGTCCCGTGCCCAGTGTCGTGCGAGGGAGAAAGGTAAAAAAAATTTTGCCACGCTGTCGGCTCTGCTCCCCGCCACACCAGGGTTCCGGCTCCTACCCAGATAGGTAGGGGGTCTGTTCCCCACGCTAGACCCTATGCAATAGGTAGGCAGGTCCGGTTTTGACCGCCCCAGAGGGCCCCGCAATAGGTAGGTAGTTCTCGAGGTAGGTAGGTGGTGGTGTGTGTGGGAGGGGGGGGGGGGTGAAAAAAATTCCTACTCGAGTATTCGGGTAAACACCGCTCTGACAGCGCTCACAGCTGCACCCCTCACAGCTGTGCGGTCGATCGCATGTCGCGCCTCTCCTCGGCCGCGGTGCTGATCGTCCTGCTCGCCGTGGCGCTCCTCGAGAGCGATCTTCTCAGCTGGCTCCGTGTCAGCCTCCTCGACGCGCTGCTCCTGCCGGCTCCGCCCACTCTGTCGCGCTTCGACCGTGAATGCTCACGCCTCGCCGGCCCTGTCGGAGCCGAGGACGGCGTCCTTCTCGATGGCGATCCTCCCGTCGTCCTCATGGGCGAGCTGGACGCCCTTTCTCACGAGTTCACCACCGCCGACGTGCACGGCGCCTCGGCGTCCACGATTCCGCCGGGCCGCATCTGGGCGCTCGAGATGACTGCACAGCCGCGACTCACGCCGCTCGAGGTGCCTCTGCCTGCCGGTGCGACGACAATGCACCTGCACGGACTTGGCTTGCACGGCGACGTGCTTTTTGCAGTCAACCACGCCTTTGGCAGCGGAGGCGAGAGGATCGAGCGCTGGAGGGTGAGCCGTCCGACTGCCAAGGACGGGGCCGATGCCGGCACGGCGGGTCATCCGGTGGCGCTTTCAGCCTTGCCCCCGGTCACCGCCGCGCTCTTCCGGGACGTGCCCGGCGAGCCCGGCGAGCGGGCAACATTGACGTCAAAGCTCAACGCCGCCATCAACGACATTGCTCCTGTGAGCCGACCCGCAGCGTGGGTACCCAAGATCCATCTCGGAGCGTGCTCGGAGCCTTCGCGGAACCCCCTCCCCCTCAGGTCAGCCCGACAGAGTGGTACATGACGCAATTCGTGGACGAGCCGGTCCGTCTCTACACTCTAGTCACGGCCTCTAGCTTGTCGCCTCTATCAGCCTCCTCCCTTCGCGTGCAGCCGCCTCCCTGCGCACGCGAGGGTGGGTACCAACCCCGTGCCTCTGATCCAGGCGTCGCACGAGGGTGCGGCGGCGGGCCTTCTCCCCGACCGCGTGCCGCCGCCGCCCGACGGACCGCTCGCCGCAGCGGCGCGCACCCTCAGTGAATCTCGGCTATACCTCGGCTGTACCTCGGCTCGGCATCTCAAGTCCGCCTCTCGGCCGCATTTCGCCACCTCCTCTCGGCACCATCGGCACCATCTCGCCAACCTGGCGCCACTCGCGTCCTCTCGCCTGCATCTCGTCCCAGGCGCGCGCCCTTTCTCGCTATCTCGGAGCGGAGATCGCCGCCAAGCTGCTGCTGCCTCGGCTTCGGCGCTCGCGCCTCTGGCACTGCTACTGCGACGGAGGGCTCGAGTCGCACCGGGACGGGCCAGCGACTTGCCGAGAGACGGCGTGCACTGCCGTTGGCCGCAGAGGTGTCGTGTGGAATGGCGTCGCGTACCGGCCGGTGAGGCCGCGGTCTCCCGCGCGCGGCGGGCTGGGCGGCAGGCTCTACGTGAGCGACATCTTTCGGCGGGTGGTGGTCGAGTATGACGTCCTCGGCTCGGGCGCGTCCGCGCGGCTGGAGGAGAGGCGTTCGCTCCTCGCACCACACCTCATCGACAACTTGCACCTCGAGCCCGCGGGTGGCGCTCTCTGGGCCGGCGCGGTGGGCTACTCGAGCGCCCACTTCTGGAGGCCTCTCGCCGCGCTGCTCGCCAACGCCTCGGCGGCGCACGCGGCGGCGCGTGCCGCTAGCCGGCCAAGCCCGAGGCCGCACACGCTATTGCGGCCCGAGGAGGGAGGGCCGCCAACGCCTCCGATGCCGTCCGGCGCGCTCCGGTTCGATCTGGCGACGGACGAGGCCAAGGTGGTCGGGATGCAGGGGCGTCATCTAGCCGGGGTCTCATTCAGCATTCCGGTGGGAGATCGGCTGGTGATGGGGAGCCCGTTCGACGACGGCGTCCTGGTTTGCCCGCGAGTGGAGCCTTGACTGCCATGACACGGCGTCTGGTTTGCAATGTCGTGTGTCTGAAAACCCATATCGCATATGATGTTCGAAGATTCTCCGCGAGCGACCGGCCCGACCTCACGCGTAAATGCTACATATAAAAAGCCGTGTGAGCCGAGAGCCGGCAGTACGGCTCTAGCCGCGTACCACACCGCACTCACTGTCTCCTCACCTAGCTCCCCGCTCACGCCGTGCGCCCACATTTTCTGATTTACGTATTACGATCAGAGCCGTACGTATCTCGTGTACGAAGGTCGTACGACGTGTGTATGTTTCGCTGACTACTTGCTATCTCTACTTTCACGATGCGACAACATGCGTGGACCGGCACCGCACCGACCGGACCGGACCGGACCCGGGTCCGAGGCCAGCCACTCGCCGTGCTCCCAAGCTGGCCTCTCAGCCCAGCTGGGAGCTGGCCTCTTCACATAAACGCACAACCCCGCCTCTTCACACCTGCTTCCGCTTGCCGTTTCACCGAGGGCGCGCAATGGCGCTGCAGCTCTCGCAGGTCGATGTCCGCGGCCTCGAGGCCTCTGCGTACGTCAGAGTGAGGCGCGGCGCGGCTGAGCTGGCACGCGCTCCGCTTTCGCGAGAAAGCGAGCGGCTCCACGCGCCGTCCCTCTCTGTCCCTCTCGCCGGTCCTCAGCCGGCAGCCGCAGCGGTGTTGGAGGCAAAAATGCAAGCAATGCCACAGTGGCACACATCGCGCGTAGCACGCACGGTACGCATCGCTCTCTAGGTGTGGTCGTGTGGCGGGCTGACGGCTGACACTCTGATTGGATCCGTGAGCCTAGACTTACCAGCGGCAGGGGAATCGCCGCAGGGGGGCCGCATTGAAGAGCCGCTCAGATGCGCCTCCGACGTGGCAATCAGTTATGAGTACGCTTTCATGGCTGAGGGCGAGACTGCGTGCAGTGCGGATATCTCGAGTGAGCAGATGGAAAGGCGTGCAAAGGTAGATGCTACTTTGACACCGCCCGATGGAGATTGAAGTGCGTCCCCAAGCTGCAACGCCAATCTCATGGAACCCTCTGCCCGCACTAGGATAGTGGAGCGGCCCGACAACTCCGCTGCAGCCGACGACGGCGCTGTGTATTTTCGCTCGAAGAGCGCCTACAGTGGCGAGCTGTCGGGCTGCACAATGAGCGGGGCTGGCCGGCTCGAGTGGCCGGGCGGAACCGTCTATGAGGGCGACTTTGCTAAGAACACGCCAGAGGGGGAGGGCGCCTTCACGTGGCCCGACCAAAGCCGGTACGCGGGTGCGGTCTCGGCGGGCAGGCGGCACGGGCGCGGTGAGTATGTGGCGAGCGACGGCGCGCGGTATGAGGGCGAGTGGCGCAACGGGCTGCGGCACGGCACCGGCCGTCTCACATACGCCTGCGGCGCTATGTACGAGGGGAAGTGGTTGGACGGCAGGAGGGAAGGGGAGGGGACGATGGCGTATGCGAGCAGCAACGTGTACCGCGGGCAGTGGAAGGCCAGCTGCCGCAGAGATGCCGTTGAGAGAGTGGAGAGAAGGAGGAGGCAGTAGGCACAGAGCAATGGGCCGAAACGGAATCTCTCTCGCCCAGGCGCTGCTTCCTCCCGACCCTCTCCCTCTTTCCACGTAGGCGGATGCCAAGTGCGGCCAAGGCACTATGGAATGGACCTCATCCGCCGAGCGGTACACGGGCGAGTCCGCTGGCTCTCCCTGGGCTCCGAGTCTGTTTGCACGAGAGATCTCGAGGCGATTGCCTGATGCGTCATGTGAGAGCGTCCGGTGTCGCGGTGTGACGCCGCATAGCTCTACTCCTCGTATCTTAACGTGTGCGAAGGGGAGGACAGTCGCGCTCCCAATACGTGCATCACTTTTGTGACGGTGTTACAACTTTGATCAACCATATCTCGATAACTACCATGTCGCCGCTCATGAAAGTAGGCGCAATCAACTGGGCGCCGTAACACCGTCACAAAAGTGATGCACGTATTGGGAGCGCGACTGAGGAGTAGAAACTCCAGCAGTGAGAATTGGCCACAGGAAAGTAGGCGGAGGCCGGGAGGAGGGGAGGACTCTATCTCGCTTAACAAACAGCGCAAGCGCCAAGCCACGCTTATGGACGATAGATCATATTTGCGGTGAATCGCGATCGATCCCCGCCGAGGCTCTTCAGCGCCTTCGTTTTCCGCTGTGGCTTCGGCGGTGCGCGTGCTGCTGCTGACAGCCCTGGGTTGGTGTCTGCCGCCCTCATGTTTCTATGGCTCTCCTCCACCTTTGCGCGGAAAGCCTGGTCTCGAGCCTCCGCCAGCGCCTCCCTGCATAGCACACGGGACGGTGTGGGCTCGTGGGAGGGACCGGGCTGGGAAGGGGGTGGCTTTGGATCGACCTCTCTGGGTACATCAGCCGCAGCCGGCCACGCTCGCGCATGCAGAGCTCGGCCTCGGTTGGCGGTATGATGCCAAACCGTCCCTTGGTCTGTGTGCGGCTGCTGCGGGCCTCGTCGTCGTCGAAGGGAGGCGGGCGGGGTGACGGCGGGTCGTTTGCGACGGCCGATGCGGATGAGGGAACCTGAAGTGGCAGATGAGTTTTGCGTCTTCAGGAGCAGAGGGGCTCTCCCGCCTGCGATCTCGCCTGCGCTTTGACAACCCCAGAGACGCCGGGCTTGAACTTTGGCAGCGGCTTGCCCTTCGCGGTGCAGGCGATCTTGTCGCCAGTCAGTCGGTCGCAAACGTAGTGCTTGCCCGAGACCAGGTCCAACCACACGTACGGCTCCTGCTCCATGCTGAAAGTGAATTTTACAACAAAGCTCCCTCGCACGACACTGGGCACGGGACAGGCGCGACTGGCAACACAGGTGTGCTGAAAGTGAAACGTCGTCGTGCGTCCACGATTATTCGATTGCGATGTGATCTGTGATCTGTGATCTGTAAGGGTCCGCCATTGCGATGTGGATCATTCATGGGGCTACCTGTGAGCGGCCGCGAACCTGGGTTGCTCGTCTGCCTAGCACCTTGGCTCGCGTCGTCACGGCTCAAGCAATGGTCTGGTGCCTCATCTCGAGTGCCTCATGCTTGGCATGCGCACACCCACGTGATCGAGCGGCCGTTGAGAGGCTGCGTTGGACGGAAGTTGCGCACCGTTTTCCCGAGCGCTTTGCGGAAGGTCTCGAGTTGGGCGGGAAGAATCTGAAGCGCGGTCCGTGTGCGTGAGAGGGCTGTGCTCCGCAGCAAGGGGGAGTGCTGTCTAGTGTGGCTGGGAGAGTAGCGGTTGTGGCGATGGTATCGCTCTACAGCACCGGCACCGGCAGGGGCGAGGCGAGCACAGACCACTCGAGCCCCTCCGTACACGGTGGCGTGGTGAGCGAGCCTCGCAAGCGGTAGTAACCGCCATCGAGCGAGATGGAGCTCAGGTCAACCGGCCGCGTGAGGGTCTCTGCATCATCCTGGTCGTGCGCGACATGCGAGGGGAGCTGATCGAAGAACTGGGAGAGGAACACCTCCTCGACGTCGGTGCGCGTCTCGAAGAGGACCGCGAGGACGGCGATGCGCATCGGCTCGCCTAGGAGCCAACGTGCTATGGTCTTGAGGTTTGCGCGTGGTACTTCTGGACTCACTCGCTCATTCGCGCCGGGTGTCACGTGGACGACGTGCATCTCGAGCGGGTACTGCATGCCCCGGATCGTGGTCTCCGAGGCGGTGTGGAAGTGGAACTGCGCCGCCTCGAAGGTGGTGCCTCCGACACTCATGCTCCCGCCCTTCCAGTTGACCTGGGGCGGCCGAGGCGGCGCGGTGGTTACCTAGGGGTGGTTAGGAAAAAGCGAGAAGCCTACTGCTGCTGAAGCGAGAAGCCTACTGCTGCTGCGCGTGGCCCCGCCGCCGCTCCCGGCCGCCACTGTCTCTGCCGCCACCCTCGCCGCAGCCACCCCACCTGGATCGTGTGCCCATTGTTGAGGATCGTGCCTGGGCCGACGCCATAGGCGAGGCTCGCGTCTCCATCCACCGCCGGACAGGGAACACACGTCGATGGCAAGATGTCGACGGGGCACTGCTCCTTGCCCGTGGCTGCCAGTTTGTTCTTTGGCGATAGCAGCGCCCAATTCTCCGGGCCGTTGTAGCCACGGTAGCCCCAAGCTGCATCGCTTATCAGCGACTCAAGCCCGCCGATGCCGCTCGCGTCTCCCGCGTGATGTGGAGCCTCGGGCGCGAATGCGGCCACCAGCTCGTAAAAGCTCAGCCTCTCGTCTGCAATGGCGTCCTTGAGCGAACGGCTCATCGACGCCTTCCCCTCCCCCTCCCACAGCGTTTTGGCGGCCGGGTGTGTCGAGAGGAACTTTTCGAACTCAGATTTGTCCACTGTCCCGTCCGAATCCTTGTCCATGTCTTTGAAGATGTCATAGACGATGGACATAGTTGTGTGATCGAGCTTCGCGTCGCCGTCCAGCTGTCCAAGGTGGCCGAGGACTGCTTGCAGCATGGTGCCATTGCTTGCGTCCTCCGATGCGTCGTGCTTGCTCTGCGTGCAGCCCATCGTGCCGTCTCTCGCCGTCGCCCTGTCTGCTATTGCCGCACCACTCAATCGGTGCGGACTGCGGAGGTAGCCTGCCGGACACCTGCCGGACGCACGCTCTAACGGTGCTTACGAACGTAGCGGACGCAGAGCAGCTCTAACGTGGTGAGCGGTACCTTACTATTCACCGACCCAAACGCAAAAAACCTCCCCTCTGACTCTTCACAGCTCAATACATACCATACAACAGCTTCGAGTTGACACCGTGTTAGTGATCGTGTCACGTGTGTGTCGGGGGCTGGGGTGTGTGATTTCATCTCTCAGAGTGTGTCTCAGGTCACCAAACACACACACAACCCTCTCTACGGCGGGGGGCCGGGGGCGGGGGCGGGGGCGGCGGTGCCGGTGGCGGCGTGCGGGGGCGGCGGCGGCGGGGGCGGCGGTGCCCCCCCCCTCTCAGCATCTGAGGTCGATTCTCACTGGCGTACCCATCGCCGGGTAGAGCGAGGTCGAGACCCGGGCGGCGGGCGGGCCCTCCTCCGCCATCGGCAACCCCATCGGAGTTGCGGGCACAGCTAGGGGCACAGCCTGCACGACCACACGGGCGGAGATAAGCCGAGAGATGAGCCGAGATGAGCCGAGATGAGCCCAGCTGCCAGCCTGCACGACGATGGGCGGGCGGACGGCCACGGGCGCGGCAGGCACCTGTACCTGTGCACACCGCGCGGCCGTGAAGAGACGCTGCGTCTCACGCTGCTAGCGGGTGCGTGGCCAGCAGCTGGCGCGCCACTGGCGCCGACACCACGGAGCTGGTGGAGTAGGAAGCCTGCGGGTAGGAGGAGGCGGAGGAAGCGCTTCCCCTCGTCGAGCATGCGTCGCGGGCTGGTTGAGCCGGTTTCGAGGCCGCTGGCCTGTGGGACACGTGCAGGGCATGTCACGGGTGGGTCGTGGGAAGCCTCGGCTTGGCGGGGAGGTCCCGACAGGGGCGCCTCTTCTTCCGCTTGCAGAGGCAGCAGTAGCCAGCGACCGCCACGATGAGGAGGAGGACGGCGGCGGCGGCGGCACCGGCGGCAGCACCGACAGGGAAAGCTGCGTCGTCGTCGCCTAGAAGGCCAGCCACAGAGCGTGTTTGGGGGGGGGGGGGGGCGGGGAGCGTGGCGCAGCGCCGCTGAGGCGGCAGTGGTGCGGACCTTCTCCGGCAGGGCAGCCTCCCTCGTCCGCGGTGCCAGTCCGCCTGATGGATGGAACAACACGAGCCGTTAGTGCGCGGCTCCTTGGGCTCCCTCGCTTCGCGGTGCCGGCGTCCGCCGGAGCAGCCCCGCCTCGACCGGAGGCGTCGTTGCGGCGGGGAGCGGGGCCGGCGCCGGGCACACCGACGCTGCCGAGTAGTCGTCGCGGAGCGTCTGGAGCGCGCTGTCGGAGGCGGTCTGGTTGTGGCACGCCGTGCTCTGGCGCGAGATGTAGTCGCGCAGGATCGGGTACTCCTCTTGCTGCTCGAGCACGCTGGTCTCGACGAGCATCTGCACGTCCATGCAGACCACCCCGATCGGCGACGGGACGGCGCCGCGGATGTCGTCGCCGTCCTTCCGGAAGGCGGCGAGGCATGCGGCGAGGAGCTCCTACAACGAGATTGGCCGGGGTGGTCCGAGATGGTCCGAGATGGTCCGAGGTACCACAAGGGGCGAGACAGTGCGGAGCTCCTTCTCGGTGAAGACGTCTTCGTAGAACGTGAGGCGCATCTGGCCCGGCTCGGTCAACGGGGCGAGGAGGAGGTAGTACGAGGCCATCACGTCGCCCAAGTTGTCGTCCTCGGCCACCGGGTAGTAGATGCCGTTGGCGGCGCATGCGATGTCCCGCAGCACCCGCCCACCCCCGCGAGGCGCGAGGTCGGCGCGGGACCCGAGGCCGAGCCCGTAGGTTAGCACGTGAGCGCCTCTCGCCGCGGCCTGGGCCTCGATCTGATCCAACGAGGGCGCGGTGGTTGGCTCGCCGTCCGACATGAAGAGCACGACCGCGTTGCAGCCGGAGCCCGGCGAGCCGAGGGCCGCCCACACGGCCTCGAATGCGCCGATGAAGTTGGTGCCGCCGCTGGCGCGGAGACCGCGGATGAAGATCTGCATCCGCTCCTTGTTGTACTTGGTCGCCTTTAAGAGAGTGCTGCGACCGCCGAGGGGCCGCGCGTCGGTGCTGAAGGCGATGACGGTGGCGTAGTCGACGCTCGTCAGCGTGTCGATCACTTTGACCCCCGCATCAATCGCCTGATGGTGAACCCATGAGCGGCTCCCTCTCGGTGGCTCGGTGTGTCGCTCGTCGCGCGTGCAGCATGTGTCACCATGCTCAAATGCATGTGCTGTGGTTTCTCGGCCAGTCTCGGCTGGTAATCGCTCGCCATGTCCATGCGCCCCCCCGTCATCGAGCCGGACGTGTCGAGGACGAGGACGAGGTCCTACAGGAGGGGATCCAAGCAGGCTCCGAGCAGGCTCCGGCGTCAGTGCCGCGAGGAGGGCGCGGAGCACGAGGGCCTTTGGCCCGGCGATCCCGCCGGCGTACCTAGTTCAGGGGTGCCAGGAGGGGTCCGCGGAGACCTCGGAAGTGGCTTGGACGGCCACGGCGATCCCGCACCAGTCTCGGAAGCGCGGGTCGTAGGTCTCCGGGCACCACTGCGTCCCTACAGGACGGCTCGGAGAAGAGTCATCACAGGCGGCTCGAGCAAGGCTCCCGAGACGCTCCGGTTTGATGGTGCCGGGCCACTGCTGGTAGGTGCCGAGAGAGGAGCCGTAGTACTGGTACCTACAGGAAGGTTCCAGGAAAGGTCTAGGAAAGGTCTAGGAAAGGTGCCGAGAGAGGAGCCGTAGTACTGGTACCCGACCCTCGTCGTGTCGTCCACCTCCAGGAGCGCAACGTGGGAGAAGCTCGTCGCAACCGCCGAGGAGAGGCAGGTGTCCAGCTTCGGCGGCGGCTGGTCCGGCCGGTCCCCGAACGGCGTGGTGGTCGTGTAGTCGAAGGTGATCCGCTGGTTGTCCCAGCCCTGCTGCTGGGAGCAGCAGCTGCAGTCGCACGAGGTCAGGTAGGTCGTCGAGTCCACGCAGTCGGAGCCGCCCGTGGCCGTGAGCATGCTCTCGGCCTTCTCGAGCTCATTCACGTTCGACAGGAGGTACGAGTTCACCTGTATCGGAACAGTATACATCGGGTGGGTGAGGGTGAGGGTGAGGGTGAGGGTGAGGGCCAGGGCCAGGGTTAGGGTTTGGCGAGTTGAACCTGTGTGATGAGGTCGGTGAGTGGCCGGTCGCAGGTGCCCTCGCGCCAACAGTCGAAGGTATTGGTCGACCCGCAGGTCGCGTACGAGTAGTGGAGGTCCGAATTGTACACACCCTGCGACGTGCGCTTGTCGCAGTTCGATATGTCCACGTAGCACCACGGTTTGGTGCACCAATTTGGATGTGGCTCGACGGAATCCCCACAATACGGCTCCAGTCCGTCGTCGTGAGTCTCACATCCGGTGCCGTACCCGCTCGGGTAGACGTATCTCTCGCCGCCAATTGTTGCTGGGAATGGTTCGCCTGCTACGATGCCGAAGGTCGTCAGATCGGACAGGCAAGGGCAGCTGGCGTGAATGACGCCCGTCATGGCCAAAAGTAAAAGGCGTCCGACCTCGTGCATTGCGTGCCTTGTCGCTGGATTGCTGAGCCGCCTATGTCCCGGCTCTTGCTCTTGTTTTTCGAAGGCGACTGGGCGCAGAATTCTTTTTCCTTTCCTCTTTGTTTTTGATATTGTGCTAGCCATCGATGTGATGAAACAAACGCAAGGCTCACACACACATGGCACATCGCTCTCGGGCCCACAGACATCCCGCACACCCGCCGCGCCCCCCGTTTTATTCTTTGGCTCGAAGAAAAGAAAGAAAGAAGTCGGACTACCCAAAGGAGGGATGGAAGGACGGCACGCCGCCACCACAGGGAATACACGGAAAGGAAGGAGTGTGTTGCTAGCCGTCGCCCACCCTTGGGCGTGTGCCTCTTCCCATCTCTCTTCGCAGTCTCTCGGCGCGGCGCAACCTTCATGCCGCCATCTCTCTTCGCAGAATCGACCTACAAACACCGGCACGGCGCGGCGGCGGCTCACGCCTCGACCTTCAGCATGTCTGAGGACGTGTACATCCTCTTCGACTGGTGGCACGCCACGAGCAGCGCAGGCTACGCCTGCTCTCTCGCCGCCGTATACGCGGCCTGTGTGGCGCACGAGCTGCTCCTCGCGCGGCGGCGTAGCTTGCGCGCTGCCGGCACCAGCTCAGCGACCTGCGGCAGCAGGATGCTTGCGGCGTGCGACGCTGCCGAGGAAATTCTGGTCGTGGCGCTTGGGTGAGGCCTCCCCAACCCCGCCGCTGCGCTTCTTCCGTGTTCCGCCTCGCGTCCCCGCGGCCGCACGCACTTCTCTCTCAACGCCAACCTCGACCGTGTGCAGGTTTGCAATCATGCTGGTGCTGATGACGTTCAACGGCGGCATCTTTTGCGTGGTGACGCTGGGCGTGGTGAGCGGCAGGCGGATCGCGCGGAGGGCGGCAGCGGGCCGCGGCGCCTCTCCGCGAGTGCACAGCAGCGCCCACGAGAGCGCGCGCAGATTTCTGGCCTCGGGGAGCGAGACGCTAAGTGAACGGGACGAGAGCGAGCACGACCTGTGCCACTCGGTGTGACCGCCGTGTAGACCGCGGTGTACGTCTACGGGGTGTGGACCCTGAGTTGACCAGGGGTTGTGCGCTGGGCCCTCCTGCTCGGCTTTAGCCAGTAGACAAGTCTTGTCATCAACAGAGTAGAAGGATCTGACCTCGGGGATGATGTGACCAAGCGCTGGTAGCGTGGTTTAACCTCACACCCATGGTCTCACAGTGTGCCGGCAGTCGCCGAGCAGTGTCGCTCACACAAGCCGCAGCACAAGTGACTGAGGGCCAGTGAGGGCGAGCCCATCGCTGTGACAGCTGTGGCAGCCGCACAGTAGGCTGTGCCAACTGTGCAGAGCGTGTGAGCAGCAGAGGAGCTGCTCTCCAGGCTTCTGTCGCAAAGAGCTGCATGCCACCGAAAGCGCTGTCGAGGTTCGCCGAGCGCGGCGCAGGTTGGAGGACGCCGTCACCGACGAGCGCGTTGGACTTTTCACTCCGGACAAAGACGGGTACACGCACACGAGCCGCGGTCGTATACCCGTCTTAGCGGCGAGGCGCGGGACCGTCTGTGGCGAAGTGGGTCGCGTCCTCCGATTTCCTCAACTCACGGTCCGCTCCCTCTACATCCGTGATCGGTTTCGTTTTGTCCTCTCCGCCACGCGCTGAGTCCCACGCTCCAGTGAGTGCAGAGTGGTCCCGCGGCGGGTGTAGCTTGTGCATGCACATGTTGTACATGTAGCGGCGGCGTGCGCCGTGCGGGCGGGGCGGCCCCTGAGGATCGTGCCTCTCACCTACTCGCCAGCGCGGTGCGGGCGCTACAAGCGCCCACAGGCTGCCCACAGCCACACCCTCCGGACTTCCCAACACTCAGTCAACATCAAACACGCACCTGGCACACATCAGACACAGAGTTACTGGATGAGCTGCGACGCGAGAGTCGACCCCCACCGGCCTTTGTTCGGCAGCACCGCCGGGCGCGCCGGCGGCGGTGCAGCGGCAGGGGGCGGCCGCCGGGGCGGTTCTGCGGCGGCGCCCGCGGCGCGTTTGCGCTTCTGCTTCTTCGCCGCTTCCGCGGGCTCCGCTTCGGCCTGCTTCTTCGCCGCCAGCCGATCCCGCCATTCGCTCGCCCCCTTGTCCTGCGCCAGCAGCTTCTTGTGCGAGCGAGACGTTCCAAAGTCGACGTGCTCCTCCCACAGCACACGGAAGGAGGCCATGAAGTCGTCGCTGGCGAGCGGCACCGACACGGTCGGCCGCAAGAGGCCGAGGCCATTGTAGTGCGACGGCAGCGGCTCCAGCGTGGCTCGCTTCTTGCTCATGCCACTAGGCGCTTGCTCACAGACGTTGATGCCCCTGGCACGAATAGTAGGGCGTTTTTTTCAGTGTATGTAACTCTTACGAACATTTTTGCACGCCCTCTCGCCGCCGACGTTACATCCCGCCCTGATGGCCACCCCACCCGTGCCGGGCGTGATCGACGAGGAGATGTGCCGGGAGGGCGAAGAGAGGCTGCACAGGCCAGCGGGTGGCGCGGCTGCGGCGCCTGCCGACGGGGCCGTGCGTGAGGTGGCCCTGCGCGACGCGGGAAGCCTCGCCCTCTCCTTTCGCAACGTGCTCAAGATTGACAACCTGGTTGGGTTTGAGCGGTTGGTGAAGCTGGAGCTGGACAACAACATCATCGAGCGGATCGAGAACATCGGCCACCTCACCTCCCTCGAGACGCTCGACCTCTCCTTCAACAACATCTCCAGAATCTCTGGCCTCGAGGCAGACGCCCGTACCTCGGGCCCGCGGCCTCCCTCTCTCCCTCCCTCTCGCACGCCACAGCCACCTGCCTCCTCTCGCCCCGTCTCACCTGGCGCGGTTCTCATCGACCCGACACTAGCGCAACGCCCAGCTGAGCGCCCGCCCCCCCCTCTCAGACGCTCACCAAGCTGACCCATCTCTCGCTGTTCAACAACCGGCTGACAGAGGTGGGCGGGCTGGACACGCTGACCGCGCTGGAAGTGCTCTCCGTCGGCAACAACCTCATCGGAGACCTCTCCTCCGTCCTCTACCTCCGACCCTTCAAGCGCCTCCACGCCGTCAACTTTGCCGGCAACCCACTCTGCCAGGCGCAAAGCGGCTACACTCGCCGCGTCCCCGACAAAAGAGCGCCCTCCTCGCCGCCGCACCGACTCCTGCTGAGCATCCGTTTGCCCTTACCGATCTGCCTCATCAGGAGGCGGAGTATCGTCCGTACGCCCTCGCTCACCTTCCTCGGGTCAAATATCTCGACTACCGGCGAGTGCTATGGAGAGATTCCGCCGAGATGTCGCCAATGCGACATGGCGCCTCACACCACAACCAGCGCAAGATGCAGACCGCGGCCGACAGCCCGGAGCCGTCGCACGCTGCTTACCTGAAGGCTATGGCTGCCAGGATGGTGGACGAGCAGGCCGTACAGGCCGCCAAGGAGCAGTACCAGGACCGGCTGCAAGAGATGCAGGAGGCGGAGGCGGCAGAGGAGGCGGCGGAGGCGGAGCGCCAACAGCGGGCGGAGCGGGCGGCGGAACTCGCCGCCGCAAACGTTGGCCACGTCGACGCGTTTCGGGACGAAATGTTGGCGGAGGGTGGGGGCGACGTCGGTAAGCTTCGGCAGCACGCGTCGTTGCTGCCCCTCGCGCAAGAGTTCCAGGCGGCGCTCAATGAGGCGATTGACGAGTACGTGGCCGCAGCGCTGGAGGCGCGCGTCCTCCCTGCCCCCAACGCTCTCTGGCCCCGCCCCTCGCCTCCCCTCGCCCCCCTCGCCGCCTCGCTTCGCCCTCCTTTCCCCCACCTCATCCGGTCGCTCCCCCATCAGATCGGCGGCCTAAAGCGGGAGGAGCTCTCAACAGTTCAGCGAGGCGTTCGGCGAGGCCAAGACGGAGGGGACGGCGGAGGCGCAGCGGCAGATCGCGCAGTACCGCCATCTGGTGAAGAGGGCGCAGCACGACGCTGGCGCCTCGGGCCTGACCCCGAGCCAGCTGGGGGCAATGCAGGAGGCAAACGGAGCGCTTTATGAGGCGCGGAGGGGCAAGACGGTTGGCGTAGGAGTGCTGCGAGGGTTGAGAGGCTCTCGCCGATGTTCGTAGGCGCTGATGGACATGGAGATGAGCCAGGTGGAGCGGTATGGCGAGACGATTGGCGCTTTTGAGAGCGCGTACGAGGAGCTGTCAAAACGGCTGCAGGAGACGGGCTCGACCTTCTTCAACCGCGCGCGCGAGCTCGAAGGGGCCTTCACGCAGAAGCTGGAGGCGCACACCCCTCTAGCCACGTCCCTCCAGCGTGACTACCGCGCCACGCCCCTGCCGCCACGCGCATCGGCCTCCCAAACGCCACTCGCGTGATAATGTTGCCGTGTACTCTCTTGACCGTGTAGCTTGTACGTGTACCCTCTTGACCGTGTCCGTTGACCCAACCTGCTCAGGCGGCCGCGTCGGAGCTCGCAGAGGAGGAGGCGGCGCGCGAGGCGGGCAGCGCGGAGGATGAGGCGGTGCCGGAGGAGGTGAGGACGCTGCTCGGCGATCGGGAGACGCTGACGAACGCGCTGACCCAGGCGATCCGCCTCCGCCCTGGTAGCCCCTCGCCGACTCTCCGGCACCCTGCCGTCGCCGCTTGCCGTTTCCTCTCATGACCGAGCCGCCGCCGCGCTGCCGATCTACCCCTCTCCTCCCAGCAGGCCCACGACACACGGGTGGCGCAGCTCGACGCGAGGGAGGACGAGGCGCGCGCGAGGGAAGTTGCGGCGCTCAAGGTCGCCCGACGCGCCTCTGTATTTTGCTCCCATCTCGCTCGCCACTGAGCCTCTCTCGCCTCGCCACACTCGCTCCAGGGAACCATCGAGCGGCTGCAAGCCGATGAGTACGGCCGCAATCGCGGCGCGGTGGTCGAGATCTGGAATTTGGTGCACGTGGAGCACAAGAATGAGCTGCTCGAGTTGGGCGCACCTGCGCATGCGGAGGTTGCATGAAATTCTTTTTTGATTGTCCTTTGTAGTGCCAGTCCCGTACCCGCTGTCGTGCGAGGGAGAGTTTGCTGGAGAGAGAGAGAGATTTTTAGCAATACCAAACCACTCTAACACATGGTTAATAAATAAATGTTTAAATCTCTCTCTCTCAACACTCACAGTTGTTTGTTTTGCTGGTAAAAATTCTTTTTCACAGGTGTACCAGGCCCCACAAATGACGTACGTGAGAGAGAGAGAGAGATTTTTAGCAATACCAAACAACTCTTAACACTCACGTGTGAGTGTTAGAGTTGTTTGTTTGTGTACCTGTGTGTTAGTTAGTTAGTGCCAGTCAGTCAGTGCGCGCCAGTCCCGTGGCCAGTGTTGTGCGAGGCATTGGGGGAAGTACATGGGAAGTCAGAAATTGAAAAAAACCTTACTGGAGTAGGCCGGCATCAAGTGCACCTGTATGCGCGAGCACGCTTCCCAACGCGGCCAACAACGCAACCAAAGGATACAGATAAACCTACAGAGTGCTATCACTTGTAGTGAGCGTCGGGCTGGTGGTAGGCCCCGCCGAATTTGCGAGACAGCTTGCACGTCGAAGCCGCATTTGCGAGACAGCGTGGCTCGCAGCGTGCCCGCTGTCGAGATCATGCAGCGCATATTCTCTACCTCCGTTGAGCAGTCGAAGAGGGGCCTTTCGCACGTCAGGTCCTATCGCCCAAAAGTTCCGTCCGTGCGTGTGCTGCCGGTCGCATCGACTGCGGCGCAGTCTCGCAGGCTCGCTGGGCGGCTGAGCGATCTGGCGACGGCGTTGAGAACTGAAGACGCCGAGGGAGGTTCGGTCAACCTGTATGGCGTAGCAGTTCTCCACGCCGTCGTGTCTCGCAAGCGGTCAGCGCAGTGCTTGTGGTCGACTGTGCCGCTGGCGTTTGCGCTGCTGCAGATCTTTGCGCTGCACTCGATCGCGTTTGGCAGCGCTTGGACAAAGTGCGTCTACGATCAGGACTGCGCCCTCGGGACGGCGTGCATCCGAGTCAACGAGCGGTCGCCGCAGTACTTTTGCGCCGACTGCGCCAACATCGTCGGCGACGGCGACCAAGAGTGGAGTCTGTCCCCCGTGGAGACGGCGTTGGGGTTCGACACGCACTGGAACCGGACGACGTACGAGTTCACTCCGGCGCTCACCGGCGACCTCTACCCAATCGCAGCCAGCGCGTACGAGTGGTGCCAAAACTTCGTCGACGCCTCGCGTACTCCCTTCGTCAGCGCCTGGCTCTCAGTCCAGAGCCAAGACTTCTCGCACTGCCTTCACGTGCAGGAGGCTCTCCATAAGTTTGGCGCCCTCGACTTGGTGGTCGTCGTCACCGGGTTCGTACTCGTCTGCCTCGCGATCGCTGCCGACCGTCAGCAGCAGCTTCTCAACCGGCACCTGCGCGTGCTGCTCCTCCCTCCGCCGTGGCGCTCTCTGCGCGCGCTCTCCTTCGTCGTGCTCGAGATGTCGCTCGAAGCGCTGCTGCCGAGCGTCAGCCTCGCCATGGTGCTGCTCATCATTCAGGGGGGCGTGGACGCGACGGGCGTGCTCTTGAATGGCGTCGCGGTATGCTTCGTCCTCACGATCGACGACGAGGTGCCACACGTACTTCTCTCCGCCGCCGACAAGCTCGCGATTGACAACTTTGCCACCGCGGCCGGCGACCGCAACACCCTCGTTAACATCAAGCGGAAGTCTCTTTGCCACGCTGCGACGGCGCTGGTGCTATTGTTTCTCATGTTCTTTGTCTGCCAGCGCGCCACCTGCGACAACCTGGTCCTCGCATGCTTCGGCCTCTGCTGCCTCACGCCGCTGTGCACGCGCCTCGCCGAGGAGATGGTCGGCCTCCCCTACACGCTCGGCCTCTCCCGCGCCAACCGGAGCGAGGCGATGCGGCGCACCGCCTCCTCGGCGAGCGGCGAGGTGGGCGGCGCCGAGGAGCCTCGCATCCCGCGCAGGGGCTCGAAAGTGGAGCGCCACCTCTCCTCGCTCCGAGCGTCGATCCGCCACCGCGCGGCAGCGACGGTACGGACCAGTTCGGGCCGCGCCGGGCTGGCGGCGCTGCACGCCACTCGTTGCCTGCTCGAGGGCATGCTCACAACGTGTGTGCTGCTGCTGTTTGGGCGCCTCGCCATCAGCCTCTACATGTGGGACATGCCCTACATCCACCAGTACGTGTGGGACGAGTGAGCTGAGCGCGGCTCACCTGTTCTTCATTCATTCTCACCACCACGGTTGCGAAATGGATTTCAAAATCTTCCTGCGCGCGAACCACCTCAGCAAAGGTCACGGATGTATGCCCTGTGTTGTGGCCGCTGTCTGTGCCGCCATTTAATAAATTCATTCGGCATAGGAATCCTACAGCGTCTGTGAGTGATCCCCAAGCAAGGATGATCAACAGTTGAAACCTTTGAGGTCGCCGCCTCCTCTCCTGCGATCGCAAGGCGCCGCCGACTCCTCCCGGTCGGCCACAAAACGCATGGCGCCGCCGACTCCTCCCGGTCGGCCACCGCCTCCGCCGAGCGAGGCAGCCGACATCGCGCAATCCGTTTGCAAGCTGGCGCACGCGAAAGGGTACACCGACTTGGAGCTGGCGTGCGAGGATTTCTGGCCTATTTCGCCGCCTGACCCACCGCCGAGCCCGTCGCCTCCGGCCCCTCCGCCACCCCCCTCGCCGCCACCCTTGCCGCCGCTGCTGCCGCAACCTCCGGCGCCGCCGCCTCTGCCGTCGGCCCCGCCGCTCCAGCCGCCCCCTCCGCCGGCTTTCGGCATTGCCCCACATGATACGCTACCGGGCGGGTTCTACGTCCCCGCAGCCGCGCTGGCCGGCACCCTCCTCACCACGGCCCTCGCGCTCTCCCTGCTGCGCGGCCACGCCAAGCCCTCCCTCCTCACGGCGGCCTGCGTTGTCACCGCCTCGCTCCAACTCGTCGCCGACTCGTTGCTCGCGGCAGAGGCGTGGACCCGCTCCACCGACCCCATCTACGACCCCGAGACGAACGCCCTGATCGACGGCGCGGCCCCCGAACGGTGGCGGTCCAGGCGCGCACCCGCTGCCATTCCTCTCTCCCCTGCCTCCATCGACAAGCCACACCCCACCGGCGTACGCCCACGTCACACCCACAACCCCACCCAGCCCATATCCAGCCTTGGCTCCTCGCCACATGCCACGCCCCTCGCCGGATGGGGATCGTCATCACCACTCCACGCCCACGCAGCCCAGCCCCGCACGCTGCCCCGCCGACAGGGCGTGGGTCATCACCGCTCTCCTCACCCTCGTCCTCGCCTCCTCCGCCGCCCTCGCCGCCGCCGCCGCCGCCGCCCTCCGCCGCCTCCGGCGCGGCGGCGGCGCGGCCGTCCCCCCGACCGACGAGGTCATGTACGCGGCGGGGCGAGGCGACGAGACGGCGGTGCTGGCGTGGCTCGACGGCGGCGGAGGCGTCAACGCGCCCTACCAGGACGCCGACGCAAGCGGCTGGACCCTCCTCATGACTGCCGGGAATCACGGCCACGAGCCGCTCGCAAGTGGGCCTCCACCGCCCCCTCATTCGCACACACCCCCTCGGTGGCCCCCCTTTTTCCACCGCCCCCCTTTCGGGTGCCCCCCCCCCCCCCCCCCCGCCCGCCTCCCCCGGCCCGCCCCCCATTCCCTAGCCGCCGCCGTGCAGTGCATAGCTAGCGCGCCCGTGCCGGCAACCATTCTCCAGAATGCTGACGGCCTCGCCCCTGATCCCGCCCAACGTGCTCCGGGATGTTTTACAGGTCTCGTGCTGCGTACCAGCCGCCTCTCCGCCTTCTGCTGCCGGCGGCGGTGTCGCTGAGAGGTGAGAGAGAGGTTGAGTACATGAACGTTTGCTCGCACCACCACACCAGGGGCTGTGGCCTGTGGCTGTGCGCACATGCGAGGACACTTCGGCATGTGAACACCCCTGTGGACCGCGTCGGCGTGCACGGTCTTTTATCTCTTTTTGTCGTTGCTATTAATTTGGAATATGTGTGCATTCCATTGCCTCGTTACGCAGCCCACTCCTCGACGCCGTACTCGTCCCAGTCTGCGCGGCCCTTGACTACTTCGGGATCGGCGAGTGGGTTGGGCTTAGGATCTGACATTGGGCAGCTGGAGCAGCGAGTAAATTACTAATACCCAGTAAAGTCGGTAGCACGCACTCCGGTCTCCGCGCCCGCCAGCCAGCGAATCCACTGCACCAGCCCCGCCTTCTTTGATAAATTAATTCTTTTCCGGTACACTTCCCCCTTTGCTCTCGCACGCACCAACAGGGCGCGCCAAAGGGGAAAAGGAGGGGAAAGGAGGAAAGATTTACAAAAAAGGCAGCGTCTCTGAGCCGGCCGGGTCCTGGCGGCGCTCACTCCACGCACCACCGACACCACACAGGGCAAGCAAAATAATAAAGAAAGGGGAGCCGTTCCGAAGCATTTACTATTTTTCCAAGAAGAAAAACTTGCAAACAGCGTCTTGCCGACGGTTCCACTGGACAAAATACCCCCTTCCCTTCCATGAACTCGTTAGTCCGCCTACTTCTCGCCCTTGTGCTCGGTGGCGCCGAAACAGCGGCGCCGCCCCTGCGGATCGCGGCGGGTGCGCTGGACGAGGCCGAGACCATGAGTACGGCATCTGGTGCTGCATCTGCACCGGAAGTCCCCGACTCCGCCCATCGCGCCCTCTTTGAGATGGGCGAAATGCTGAGCGGGGTCTACAATCCGATCGCCGGCCCTTGCACTGTACACACCCCTCTTATCAACCCCTGCCCCCCGTGTCAGGCGGCGGATGGCGCGCAAGACCTGCTTGGTGGTGGAGGTGGCGGCAAGTCAGGCGGCGGTGGCGGTGGTATGCCAGGCATGTCGTCCGACCCGGAGGTGGCACGCTTCCAGCAGTACGTCGGCGTCTTCATGCCTGGTCTCTGTGCGCAACCGCTCCCCTCATACGCACACTCGAACTCCCCTCCACAGACACCGCACTGACACCCTGGCAACTACCCTCCGATGCCTCTCCCTTCCCCTCCCCCTTTATGCGCAGTTTTCACCTATTTCGTCCTGTTTCTCATGCTGTGCATGATCACCTTTTGCTGCACCTGCTCTTGCATGTTTTGCTGCGGGCTCGCCCTCGCCCCGTTTGAGTGCTGCTCAAGCATATGCTGAGCGGCGTGCGCGCCGTTGCCCCCGCGCTCTCCAGCTCTCCGGGGGGGACGCAGACGCTCTAGTCCACCTTCCCAAGTCGCATTAAGGTGGCGCAGCGCGGGGGAGATGTACATCGTGTATCGTGTCGCCGTGTTCGGTGTGTCCTATGTGTAGTGAGACCGACTAGTCCTTCAGACTAGAACGTAGGGTGAAATTCTCAAAAAGGTGCAGCACTTCTCTAGCCGACATCGACAAAAGTCCCTCTCTAGCCCCGCGGCGAGCGGCCCCGCCGGAGGCGAAGAAAATTTCGCCATCTAGCGCTCGCAACACATAGATTGCAGCCATCTCGCCGCCTGCGGTGCCATCTCGCCGCAGCGCGAAGGCCAACCCCGCAAATTTGCACAAAAACTCCGTGCAAAGCCTCTTCGAACGCGCGAAAGCGCCGGCTTTCGAAACTCGGCGCCCGCCCTCTTTCTGGCCGCGTCCCTCCCCTGTCCGATCTTCTGCATTCCTCTTTTACATACATAAATCAGTAAAAACACATGCATCGCGTTGTAGTAAAACCCCCCCAGACATCCCCCACAACTACCAGGTGTATTTTATTTTTGCTTGGGTGGGCCTCATGATGAAATTCTGCAAAAACCTGGCCGGCCCCTGCCCTGCCCCTACCTACCTACCTACCTACCTACCTTACTTATGGGAAACTAAAAAAGAAAACACTCGATGGGGCTAGGGGAAACCTGGAGCGCGGACTAACCCTCGGAGAATATTCGTTAGCTCCGAGTAGAGGGGGCGGTCTGCTGCTAGGGGAAACCCGGAGCGCGGAGCTAACCCTCGGAGACCCGTGTTATGGCCCTGCGACCGCGCACCCCCGGGGCTAGGGCTCTCTAGCCCGTAACCCGATGCCGAGCGTCCGGCCAACTGGGTGCGCTTCTCAGCTCCCCGGTCCTGGGCGTGAGGTTAATGACCGCACTCCAAGTGGGTGAAGGTGGGGTACTATACCAACTAGAGTGATGGTTGGTGGTACTCTCCTGCAACCACAGTCCTTCTTGTGACATGGCAGGCCACTCTCAAGCTCTACAAGCATCAGATCACCCACTTGGGGAGGGTTGACATCGTGATTTCCGCGGAATTTTTCTTTTTTTTGCTGTAAAATTTCCGGCGTGAAGAGAGGGAAAAACCCGACGGGAGGGCCCAGACCTACCCGTGTTTACTTTACGGCCCTTTCCCTGCGAACGCGCACCCCCGGGGCTAGGGCTTTCTTGCCCGCAACCCGATCCCGATCATCCGGCCCGCTGGGACCTGGGTGCGCTAGCTTCTTAGCTCCCCGGCCCTGGATGTGAGGCTAATGTGTAATGACTGCACTCCAAGTGCTCCAAGTGCTCCTACCCTACCTACCCTGTCATGAGGCCCACCCAAGCAAAAATAAAATACACCTGCAACTACAACAGTATTACAGACGCGAGATGCATGTGTTCATACGCGCGCCGCGCGATGGCCGATGCGCTCTCTTATCCCGCACGCTACTCGCGCTTCTCCGTGTCATCCGACGGGGCTGCCGTTGGTCACTTCTTGTCGAGGGCGTCTCTCGACCTCCGCTAGGCGTCGATGTTGTCCTGCGAGATTGTGATGGTGAGATCATGCGCCCCGTCGTAGGACGCCTTGTTGACGGTCAGGGTGTTGCCCGCCACGTAGCCCGTGCCGGGGACGGTGACAAAGATCGCGGTGACCGTGCCACTCGTGTCGAAGGTCAAGGCGAGCGCGGCGCCTCCCCCCTCCGCTGACGTGATGGCGGCGGGGAGGACATTGACAAGTGTCCCTGCCAGTGCCGTTGCCAGCTTGGCGCCAACAGCGTTGCCGGGTGCCGGCGGCACCGTCAGCGTGGCCGTCTTGAGGGGCCCCGACGTCGACGGAGGCGGGGACGGGGGCGGCGGCGGGTCAAAGTTCTCGGTCTCGATCTGCAGCGGTGAGAGGGCACAGTCGCCGTGAGGTGCACCGGCGGCCGCCCGGGCAGCGGTGAGGGCAGCGGCTGAGGGCAGCGGCTGAGGGCAGCGGCTGAGGGCAGCGGCCGCCCGGGCAGGAGTGGAGGAGGGAGGGAGGAGGAGGGGCAGGGTGGATAGAGGGGCAGGGTGGATGGAGGCGGGGCGGATGGAGGCGGGGCGGATGGAGGCGCGGACGTCGGAGCTCCACTTGATCTTGTTGCCGACCTCGGTTTTGCCCTCGCCGCTTGCTTGCTGGCTGAGGCCGAGCTTCCCGGAGAAGTCTTGGTCGATGCCGATGGAGCCTTCGCCCCCGCCGCTGCCCTCGCCGCTGCCCCAGATGCTTGCGCTGACCTTGGAGGGGAGAGGGCATGGGAGGGCATCAGGCAGGCGGACAGGAGAGGGCGGCAGGCAGTCGGCGACTACGGACG